CCCGATAAGGCCGGGGAAAAGCCCGTGAATAGCTTCCGGCCTTCCAGGCCGACCCATTCACCATTTAAAAGGTTATCTCGTTGAGCTTCACACAAAGATAAACTTGTTTATTAAAAGAGTTATATTATTCAGTTTGCTCAAATCCCATTCTTGTGCCCATTCATGCCCACTGTACAAAACGTATTGGAAAATATTTTATTTTTATTTGCACACATCAAACGCCTTCGCAGATATACGCGTTTCTATGATTCCACCATTTTCATTATTATATAGAGATATAGCACTTTTGATTAAATCCTTGCAAAGAAAGCTTGTATTTAGTTTATCAATTGGACGACGTTGCTCTCTTTGTATTTTTGCTGCGCTCGTAGATGAAAACGTTTCCTGCTATTGAATTTTTGATGAATACAATTCTTTGATTCGAATCTCGATATGATATTTATTACATTCTTCTGCTTTTGCCAATATCAAAAGCACAAAGAAAACAATGTGTAAATTTGTTACTTAACAGTTCGAACATTTTAATGTTATACTATTAATGTACACATTTTTAGAAGAACATCTGTAAATTATCACTCAATTTAACTTATTTCTCATTAATTGGATTATTTTATTTGCAGATTTTTTACTATCATTTTAAGATTTTACATATAGGAATAATATTAGACTTATATGTGTATCAGTATCATGTATTTTTTCTTCTTCTTTCCATTTTAAGTCATGAAACTCTCATAAATTAAATAATTGATGATTCTAAAGAAATTATACTGTAAAGTATAATAATTTTTTTTTCAATATTTCAATATATATTGAAATATACAAGAAAAATAGAATATTTAACAATATCAATGACATTGATGATATTAAATTCTAAATATTTCAAATGCATTTTGAGTAGTAATTATAAATATTTGAGTTTAAAATAATGTTAATGCATCAAGTTGAAACCGTACGATTCCACTGAATGAGTAGCGATTAACATAGAACATAAACTAATTAGTTGGTACATTGGCTTCAGCTTTGCTGTTGGATTTCGTTCAGAATTAATTCCGTCGGTGTATCGTGATTATTACCGTTTTGCGAATTGCGGACTTCGGCAGAATAATCTGCCGACCAAAACCGCAGATAAAGACCGGTTTATATTTGCGCAAAAGTTTGCATAAAATCTCCGTAATAATTGGGAATAATTCTGCTATTCCAAAACGAATACGTGCAAAATAAAATTAGAACTTGAAACTATAGAAGCAACTAATGAATAAAGTTTGGTCTAGTCTCGTCTATTGTTTTACTTCGTTTTGTTTTGCGAGCATTGCAAAACTGTATGGTTTCAACGGATTTATGGAATCATTCATATATGCATTGAATTTATTCAACAAATGTTTGTTATAAACTGTACGCTCTTCAAGTTCTCTCCACACACAATTACAATTCGACACGTCGCGAAAAGTTCACAGTTTTAGATGAAATTTATCTGGTTATCCAAAGTTCACAATTAATTAAAAACTTTTTAATTATATATTTGAGTATGGTTTTGTGTATATAATATAATATTTTCAACAAGTAACAATTTCTAACTCTGAGGAGATTTTTACCATTGGAATGCAGATTTTTTGTTTAAATAACTTTTATCAATTACAAAGTTTTAAATATATTTTAATGAGTTTTAAATTAGTTCGCAATTGTAATGAACCCTTTTATTTTATTTTTTAGCTGTAATTACTTTTCTAACTTATTTATTGATTAATGAATTACCATATTTTATATTATTTTGCAACCATAAAGCTGGAATAATAATTAAAAATTAATGAAAAATCGTAAAATTTATGAGATTTCGACTAAAAATACATGTTTTTTGCTTATAGCCTGACGTTAGTGTTGATATATTTTATGAATGGCTCAAAAAAAAACTTGTCTTCTTCTCACGTGGCCTAGGAAAACTAAAGGTTAGACACAATTGATCTAAAACTTACTCAACAATAATAATATTTATTGCAACAATAAAAATACAAAATAAAACGTCAACTGCTGTTTACCATTGGTTTTTCAGCCTTTAATTTTATAATATTATATTGATTTAAAATTATTGTAACATACTTGTCTTTATACAAAACTTTTGCTAACCTTTAGATATATTACTAACAAATAATTTTGAACAGTATGAAATACTTACCTTTACATAAATTAATAGTTTTAGATACTGAATGTGAATTTAATAATTAATTTCGAGTAACTATAAAGTTTTTAGAATGAAAGTTGGGAATAAAAACAAGTGCGAAGTCTGAAATTTATGAATTGAAACAGAAAAAAAAGTGTTATTAAACATATTTAGTTTTAATTAATTTAGAATGAGTGCACTGCAGGGAATATATAATGTTAGTGTATACGGCCGCAATGTCGCTAATTTAAAGTTAGCGATTAATTAAAAAGTTGTTTCGATCCTCTATATATTTTTTTTTCATGCTACGCGTTGCTGCGGCGACTCCCTAATAAAAATATATAATGTTTTCAGAGAAGTAACATTTTGTAACCGGGAGGGATATTTTCACTATCGGTATCCGGAGTTATTTCCAACACCATTTTTCACTCTGGAAAAAGTGTATATAGTACATGCCAAACTAATATCTCTAGGGCATAAAGTTCCAGCACCGTGATTGAACTAAATGAACACAAAATGGGCTTAGCGTCAGCTGGGAGTTGGTGTGTGGGGGAGGTTTTGGAGGACGGAAATGCAATGCAACGCAACGCGGACGGGGGTGGTGTAGCACACACATATAAGATATACACTATAATTTCATATTATATATTTGCCGGCCTTCCGTGAAATGACAAAGGGATTAGCTGATATTGGCTTCGGCTAAATCCTGCGGCCGAACTCAACACCCCACTAATTGCGTATCGATTATGTTTATTAACATACAAACAGCAATACCGATTTTATAATGAAATCTATTTTATATTTATGCACAGATAATACAAATGCTATCCAATTTATTATTGTCGTTCACATAAATTATTGTTCAATGCCCGTAACACCGTTACAGCATTTCACTAATCACTTATTAATTGTTAATCTGCTTTCATATTTTTTTTTCTCTCTCGTACATTTTATGTTCACAATTACATTGTCATTAAGCATTGAATTAATAATACTAATTTAATGATTCACGTTTACCAATGATACCACACAATCTCGAATATAATACGAACACTCAACCTTTTGAGGTTGAGTATATTACATTTTATATTCATATTTTCATTGTAATTAAACATTCAATTATTAATACAATACTAATTAATTACATTCGTCAATGCTCACGTAAAATCTCATCCATCAATAATGCCCAATAATCCTTTCGAGATAGAAAGTTTTAAGCTATGACTTAACAAAAAATCTATAATGTATATTTTACTAATTGTTGATTTAAGTCTCTTTGAATATAACATTGAATACTTTTTACATAGTTAATTATTTGAACATTAATTTGTTTTTAAATGACAAAATAATGCGCGCTTTTTACTGGAGATTTTGTGTTAAAAAAACAAAAATTTGATTATGATGAAAGCTTTTTAAACTTGTCGAATAATTTTCATTAAGAAAGAATTAAGTGTCACTCGATCTTGAAGATCGATTTTATTTTTGTTTGAAGGTTTGGTGGTATTAAAATAATAATAAAAAAAATAAGAGTGGAAGAGTGTGGACTGAAAGTAATAAAGAAGTAAACTTTTAATAGAGGAGTGGCAAACTTGGAGGCATTTTAATGCAAGTCGCTGTGCATTGCATAATTAAGTTTTGGCGGGATGAGGAAGGGAGGGTTTAAACAAGCACAATCTCTTCCTCAACTTTCAAAACTGGGTGAATTTTGTGCTTAACTTACAAAATTATACAAATTAAATTGAAAATGTTCGCAGCGGCGAATTTAATCAATCAAAATTAATTTAATTACTGCACGCGTATGAACTCATGTGTGTGTGTGTGTGTGCGGTAGAGGAAATCAATCAATTGATTGTTTACTAAAATCAACTTCGGGGTGTAATTTATTTATATATATAATCAATCACCTAAATGCAGTGTCGAATTATATGTAGTTGACAAGCTTGCGGTGAAATACGCTTTATCAATTTGTTATGTTTTTGGTCTACTGGACATGTTCGTATTTTTATTAAATAAACGATATATTTTAAAATAATTATATAATAATTATATAAAATATGTTGAATCCTTCTAAAACTAATTAAGATTTTAATGTTGTTCTAATTTAATAGTTTTTATAACTATAACACTTTTCAAGATTGTTCATTCTTTCTCATGTCTTCGGAAAAAGAACAAAATAAGTTATGCAATTTATTTTCTAAATTCCTATTTGTATTTATTATAAGAAATAAGTCTGGATATTATCTCTGTCTCTCAAATGATGAAATCATATTTATCGCATTAAGATTGTCGCGGAGATGTGAAAATTTGTAAAATAAAACTAGTCTTGGAGATTAATGAAACTGACGTAAAAGAAGTTATATTGAAAAATATTTGTTACTTATTTATCTAATTCTATACATTTTATTATTATTTAGTCTTTTAATTTATACTAATAATTAAAAACTTAGTTCTGTAATTAGTTCTAAATTAGTTCTGTAAACCAAAATACTATTGAACTAATAATTTGCCTCTAATAATTTATTTTGATTAGGAAGTGAAACTTTGACAATTGTTTTTTGTTATATTTTCAATATATGATTATGAAATGATGATTCAATTTTGTAATTATTGCTTCAGATTACTATAATCTAACAAATTCAACGCGAAATAACTGATAAACTAATTTTTTTTAACTTTTGACTAATGGAATAAATAAAATATATAAACTGTTTTGTCTGAAAATTAATATTTATTTATAAATTAAAATTTTTTGAATTTTTAACAATTTTTCTCATACTAATTACAATTTTTTTTTAAATTAATAATTAACATGTTTTTTTATTAATAATCAACAAAGATAAAAAAAAAGAAACAAAATGTCTTAAGATTTCTTGACTTTTTGTGTTTTCTTACAGCACATGCCACAAGTAATTCTAATGGTATGGTAAACGATAAATATCGTGAAAGCCAACGCCAAGATCAAGAATGCTATGACATCCAAAAGAAGGTACTGGTAAAATGGCATATTAACGGCCGCAGTTCTCATATGGTCCGCTCCCTTATGCCTGGCAACATATTCGATCCAATAAATTGCAGTCTCCAATGGTGGCATGGGTCTATCTCTAAATCTTTCCGACAATTGTTTCGCCTTCTTGTTAAACCTAAAACAAAAAACCGTTTATACCTCAGGCTATGTTATTTTATTTTGTACAACGCGACGTAAAAATATGTTTTCTTTCATGTTTCAATGGAATTCTCGTAAGCGGCTTTGTAATAATAATTTTCATATGTGCAGCTTGTACAATATTTTTTTTGCTTTCATCGCTTTGTGCAAAGTACGCATGAGCCGTGATTTTAATTAAAACTCTTTATACAAATAAAATGGAGCTTAATCGCGTCCCGCTAACGGACGGAATAATTTAAATTGGATTTAAATTAATGCGGATTTTATTTTGTGCTTTCAGTCCGGACATAAATAATAATAATTCAGGTATTGATTTTTAATTAGCTAGGCAAGAAGTTGCCATAATTGAAGGCAAATAACGATACCGTAATTGTTTTTAGAACATTAACTCGGTAACATCGCCCGTTTGTAATTTAATATCGTTTAAAATAACATCGCATGTGTGTTCGCAGTTTAAGAATAACTGCCGTGTGTTCTACCATAAACTGAATACCACCCTTCTTCTCTCTTGCACACCCCAATTCGATGCTTGAATAATATTAAGTTTAACAAGTATCTCATTAGCGCGCGTAACTCAAATCGCGAAGGTCAAGTGGAGGGTGTAAGCAACGACGAGCAAAAAAAAACTCCTTATCAACGTTGCACTCAATTTCTTATCGTGTCGAAGGGTTTTCGAAATAGTTCGGTAATCCCCCAATGGGTGTACTATATATCGTGTGTGTTTGTGTGTGGGAAAGATAGCGTCGGGGTGAACTTACTCGGGGTCGAGGATGGTTTTCAGGGCTCTGTAAACCGTATCTTCTTCGATATTGTGGAAGTCAAGGACAATTCCGCCACCGCCAGCTTCCAAAGCTCTGGCATTCGTGTGCTGGTCCCCAAATTGGGGCATTACGACCACTGGAACACCACAATGGACTGCTTCAGTTGTGCCCAAGAGGCCTCCGTGCGACACAAAGCCCTTCACATTTGGATGACCTAAAAGCATAAAGAAAATATATATTTAATATTAGTATTCTAATCAATAGACGACTATTTTTTGTGTGTTCAATTTAACTCCGTTCATATCAAAAACATTTTCCATTTCGAACTTATTACATATTTATGGTACAAACCGAATCGGAACTCCGAAAAATGAAACAATTTTTCAAAATCAATAACGCATTCACGTTTAAATATTTCATATACAACAGTTTTGCCAATAATATACATAATTAAATATATTCATCAATTTTTATATTTATGTTTTACACAATTTATTATTTACCGCACACACATTTGTTGTTTAGTACAGTTCAATAATCACACATACTTATAATTCAATACACTCAAAAAATGTGTAAAAAAAAGTATAATTATTACGATAATCAAGTCATAATGTGTAAATCATATGAGAAGATATGGAATAAGTAATTATCACTGCCTTTTCCATTTTATTGCTGATGATTTAGCACTTAATTTTGTTTCAGTAACCAAGTTTTTCTAATTGCGGTTTTAGTTTTCTTGTAAGAATAAACTGTAGACCAAATATTGTTTTCATACACGCACCTGTTGCAAGACTTTGAAAAAATTGAATTTTAGTATTCAGATTCATGATGATATTGATTTTAAGTTGTAGTTTACGTAACGAAATTTATATGCTTACGTTTGATATCGGTTTCCGAATTCCAAAGATCTTGTTATTAATAGGCCCGAATTAATCGGTATGCAATGTTAGCCATTTGGACGATCAACCAATTGATCTATAAATCGAGCACCGTCGTCCCAAGTGCAGAACGGACGGATTATTAATAGCAACGTATCGCAAATCAAGTGCTAACCAAAATCTAGATGACCATCCGCATACTCCCTAATCCGTATCAAGAGAGAAAACCAAGATTTTCTTAGTTTGTGCAATTGCATTTCCACGTGAATTATTTCGCCTCTTTTATAACATTTCTCTCACTTCTTATTTCGACTAATTAAAAATTCCGCCGCCCAGCGAGCGAAAGCAAAGAAAGGGAAGCAAAAAAGAAATAACTGAAGGCAGAAGCAGACGCGTGGAGGGTTGAAATTAAAAAAAAAAGTAAAATAAAATGAGGCGGAGGCTGCAATTATTTATATTGTAGAAGCGTGAGATTCCAGCGGCTCCCGTTTATCACCAACCCGAAAACTCTCGCAAATTAAATAATTAGTTCTATTAACGAAATACCAGAAGGAAACGCTGCTGATTAATTTGTTACAATTATTTATGAAAATCCAAACATTATTTTGTCCTCTACATTTTTACATTTCGTTCGTCCATTGAATTTTCTTTTTTAACTTTGAATGAATATTTTTTATTAGAAATGTTATGATTAAAACTATTTCCGCATAGAACGATTTCAATAAATCCGGTTTCAAAACCTATTAAATTTTATAAAATTAAGTACTCAAAATTATTTCTTTATAGTTTCAAGTTACTTTTTGTACAGTTTGTTTCCTACATTAGTCCGGTTTCAAACAATCCGGAATATTGACGGAAATGATTATCTCCTCAACTTATCAGAAAGTTAGTCTATAAAACACATAATTATATTTTTTAATATCTTTTCTATGCATTACAGCCAAATGTGCGAAACCACAGTAATGTACATTTCCTTGCTATCATATGCATTTGGAATCTATTCAATCTAATACAGTTTCCAAGAAAATCACTAAAATGTGAAAATTATGAGTTAATTTTATTGACATACATTTTATACGTAACTTTACCATGTATAAAATCAATATAGTAAAAAGTATAGAGTATAATAAGTATATTTTTGTAAATAATCACTTCGAATATGAATATGAAATAGATGTTGGATAATTTTGAATTGTCTTATATAATAATAAATATTTTGAAAACAAACTCTATCTCAAATGTATGTGAATGAAAGTATAAATGTTGTTGCGAATTAAATCTGTCGATGAAACAATGCCCGTAGAGGAAAAAAAGACATGAATCAAATTTGATTGTTGTTTGTTGCGCAATTGTTCCTTTCGCATTATTTGTCATTCATGTTTGTTTGTTTGCGTTTGTGATAAACGTTGTTTCTAGATAAATGTATACGGTTCGTTTCATGTTCATATAATTTTTTTTACTATCCAGCGATGCGTGATAACAATTTTCATCGCGTTCGTTACCTATTCCGCAACGTAACAAATTAGAATCAATCATGCGAACAATGTGTCAACGCAATGGAAATGAAATAAATTGAATACGACAATAATCAATGAATTATTGATCATCAAGACTATTATAAAAGAATACAGTCGCACGCATGGAACCTTACCATTACTCATTCTTGTTTATAATTCATTTCCTTGTAACGCAAGAAACGTATGCATTATGCGTTGCAATATAGAAATAAAATAAATTAATCAGATACAACAGATGATCATTTTGGTTATTCTATACAGATTATTAAGTATACATTATTTTGGTAGAGAATGATGCAAACTAAATTTTAAAAAAAATGTGTTGTAAGTAAATTTGTTATAAAAAATATAGTTGCAAATGTTCGCATTTTTACATAATCCAAAGTTTGTCTTATGGTCTATTTTAACAGAAACGTTGTACATATTATTTTTATGTGTAGTTTATGTTTACTTTAAAAATATGTATTTTTAATTTTGTATTTAAAATGTATTTCCAAGCAAAATGATGCACGCTATATATTTTTCTCATATAAAGTAAAATAATCATAAAGGATTATGTTATAAAAAAAATATCTGGATAATTTAGTTGCTTATTTGAAAAATGAGGTGGTAATATTGAAGATAAGTTTTGTTTTCGTGTTTGTTTTTTCATGTGCGATTTCTTATAATATATTATGTTCATATCAAAAAGTATACGTATGAAAGATATATATAATAAAGGGATTTACGTTGTCAGCAATTTTTATTTATAATTTGCAGTAATAAATTCATGTTGGGCTTTAACATTTATATAATACAATATATTCGTGTTCTCATTGTTTTTTTTTTCGTCGTTTCTTCCACCGAGCTTAAATAGTATAAAACGGGCATTAATTTGGTTCGGTAAAACCTTTCAGTGAAGCGGAGATAATGTTTTAGAAAGTTTCCCCCCAAGGAGCACGTAACATGCTAAAGGATTTTATTATTTAAATATTACCAGAGACCGCATAATAGTCTACTGTGCGTGCATATATACGTACTAACACTACATAAGATTACATAATACAGAGGGGGGAGGGCTTTTGTTATTATATTATATGCGGGGTGATCCCCTCGGCACTATAATTTCTTGTCCCCCGTCGTACAATGCGTGTTTTCATTCAGAAAGCCTCTCCACACAAATTTGAATAAAGCCCCGAAATGAAAAATACGCGCCGAGCTCTTATTGGATTATTATTAATTAAGCCTTAGTTGGGAAAACGTAATTTACTCCTGTAAATATTTATTTTTCTTTGCCTCTCCTCCTCTACCCACCACGGCCAACTTTTCACTACATGACTTGCGTAATTTGATTGCACTTCTCCGCTGAAAGTGTACAATTTTCAGAAACCTCGCATTGGTCGACCTCTCTGAAATAACTTATCAAGTTCCCTCTGCAAATACGCTACAAGTTCTTAAATAATCTAACAAACAAATATCAAACGTCGCCCACACTGTAAAGGAACGTCCACGAATTATTTAATTACAAACATTGTTGACATTTCCGCTGTCGCCGAGTTATTATTTATTTTAGTATTAAAGATTATTATTTATAATTACTATTAAGTACATAAAAATTAGAATGCCCTAATGTTCGTGTTAATTTGTCGATTGGTTTATATATGAATAAAATAAATATATCTCTTAACAAAAATAATAGAACCAATAAAGTTTACTAAAAAAAAAATGCCAACCATTACAAAACTTAATATAAAATATAACTATATTTAAATAAATGAAATGAAATTATATTTTTAAAATATTCGAAATAAAAATACGCCAATATTATTATTGGACTAATTTACTTTTAATTCGTATTAAAACCACTTATATAAGTTACAAAATACAAAAAATATTCAAGTTTAGTAAATAAGTAATAGATTTGAAAAAAATAATGTTAAAATACTTGATTATTATTATTGTTATCCAACTAATTTTTGTTTTATGTAAATGAACAGAATAACATTTTATGTCGAGTTAAAAAAATATACAACATTTGAAAGAGTTGTCGTCTGCTTGTTTTTTTACGTTTTGTTATGCTTTGATGATAAAAAGCTATGTGGTCGATCGAGGGGTTTTGGGGGTGGTGCGGCTGAACTATTTTAAATATTGCGGTTGGTGGCGTATTCGAAATATGTTGTGATCTACAGGCGCGCATACGGTCGGCATACCGAACATCTCTTTACCGGCAATATTGCGGCATAATTAAATTTGATTGTTGTTTGAAGTGTTTGCATATTTCCTCATTAATAGAAATGTAATTAATACGAAATCGGAGCACAATGAAGGCTCGAGTGCTCGTGGTACGCGAGCGTGGAAAAATGAAAATTGATGGGATTAGATCGAGTCGAAAATTGGTTTGTATTTATAGAAAGCTCGAGGACGGTTTGGGGGGATGAGGGTATGTGTTTGTCAGGGCCGGATAGGGATACGGACAGAGACATGAGGGGATGGTTGGTGCGACGGAGGATGAATCCTTTTTAAACTCACACAAGATGTCAAACTGCGGCATCCACTTTTGGATCATTACGTTGTCAGGTTTTCCAGGCATCGTGTCGTTTTCCCATTTCCACAGGACTCGCTGCTTGAGACGACCAAAAGCCCTCAGGAACGCCTGCTTCTTGTGCTCTGGAAATGTATGCCCTTTGATCATTGAACCCATGCTAAAATAGATCACCCCATCCTTGGATTCGTTTATCCATTTCTCGATATTCTGTCAGGAAAAATACATTTGCTATTAATATCTGTGTTTTACGGAAATTGTGAACACACACACACATATATACTTTTAAAATAAAACGAAGTTTCCAATTCAAACCCGAGATTCGTTTATTAAATTATCGATTTGAACAATGTCGGACTGTTACGTGAAAACATACCGTCAGCGCCTGAACACAAAACCTATTTATTCTGCAACTCAAACACAACTTTTGTAATTAAAGTAACTGTTTCCAATAATTTCGCAATTCAAAATATACACATTTTCTGAACTTCAATATACTCGAACTCAAATATTACTATCCATTACCTTTTATATTAACTTTTTTACTATTACATCATCAATAAAATTATTGAAATTACTCAATTTTTTAATTAATTAATTAATTAATAACTCTAATAACATATCAAACTTAACTTAGTAAATTTCTTTAATAACTTGTTTTCATATTAATTAATTAACTATTTATTATGAATATAGAAATTCTTGCTGGTCATAGTTTGTAAAGAGACATGTCAATATCGATCAAAGATAGAATAATAATAATGGTTTTTCCTTTACGAATTTAATGGAATTATTTAATTATTTACATATAGGCGGTTTTCCCCAACTACAAATAGGCATTAGGAAATTAATAATAAATTTTGATTGGCATTCAACTTGCGTTCGGCTACGTAATTGAAATGGAATATATCAAGTTTTTTTTAATGTAAATAATAATAGGGGAATTGTTATATTATTAGGAATAACTTTATACATATTTATTAAACGACTTAGATAATAAATGGATTATATTAAATATAGAGCAATTCACATATTTACAAAATACGTCAATTATTATGTATTCTAAATGCATAAACATATTTAATTAGGAGTTAATTTTATCTTTTATTGATTTATCATATAATACTAATTAAATGTATTATAACAACCATGAAATTGAATACATAATTACAAATATTAATCGATGTTTATTCATATTTTCACAAACAAAAAATAAGTCACAATTTGTGTGTTTAGAGTAGATAAAGGGCCAAAGTAAAAAAGTCACAATTGTCTATTTTTCAAAATTTATCTATTTATATCTTGAAAGATACTTGCTCATCACTAAGAATGTATATAGATAAATTAATAATAGATAATGATCAAATAATTAAGAATATCCTGGAAAGATCAGATTATTGTAAAGAGCAATAAAATACTGCGATCAAACATATAAAAATTTACTACAAATTAAGGCTAAAATTAAGTAAAATTTTGTAAGTTTGTATGGAGTTTGTTACCTGAATATGAAATTAATTTTCGTTTTGTTGCGAACTAGGCGAATTGAAAACAGCAATACACAAAGGATAATTAATGATATCTTGGACGAAATTAATAATTGGCAATTGTCGATTAGGTTCTTTATTGTCTGCCGGATCATTAATTAAATTTGCAATCAATTTACGTGCCCAGGCTGTTTATTAAATTGTTCGCATGGAATCGTCCCTTTGAGCAAGTACGTGAAACCGGGAACACCGGCTCGTGTTTTTCAAAAACCTCCTGCATTCAATTGCTATTTTGTTTCGCCCTATTTTTTTTTCTACGTTTTCTTTTTTGCAGTTGTTCGAGTCGCGATTTCTATTAATCATTCGCGTCCATTGTTTCATTTTGCGCTCGTTAATGGATTTCGAGTACTTTGCATTTTCACGTTTCATTTACCCACCCCGTGTGGAATGTATGCAAGCCATTACAAACTGTTTTTAATTTCATCGATTCCCTGGGTGCGTGTACAACCTGGAACGATGTGAATGGAGAGAGAAATATAATAAAAATATATAGTATTATGTAATAAAAGGATCCGTGACGATTTACATAATCTTCGGTTGAAATTTTCGTTCGGAGCCGGTGCGAGGACAATCAAATTAAAAATTACATTTCCTGCATTACTGCGAGTGACACGTAGAAAGAATTTTTCCAGCAGCCGACGCAACAGCTGTCAGGAGACGTCACTCTTTTGCCATCTGCGGACCTAACTTAATTTCGCCATATTCAGCTGAATTCTCATTCAAATTCACAATCGCATTTATTACTTGTCACTTCTAATTCACGCCCGCTTTTCGCGAAATTACATTTTTACATGCGAAGACATTTTCACTCCAATACTAATTATCTTTAGATAATTGACTTTGTTTATATTCGAGATAATAAATTACAAAAATTATCTTCATTTTATTTATTTTTTACCGTAATTCATATTTAAGCAATCATTGAAATCTGACCTTCACCTTGAAAAATACTTGCATGCATAATACTTAAACCAAAATAAAACGAGCATAAAAATCAGCATTTAAAAACAAGAATCATCATTACATAATCTTCAGAAAAACATGAAATGCTTATGTATATTTATATTATTCTCAAAATAAACAATGAAGTAATTTTCTTCTAGGAAATATAATCTGTTTAACTGATCGCATTTCAATAAAAAAAAAAGATATTCGGTATGTATGCTACATCACTAGTAATAATTGTTGTTTTTTTGAAATCGTGTATCCAGAAAAGGCCAACTATTGAGGTTTAAGTATTATAAAGAAATCTACCGTGAGATGCATATTTCCTTGAGTCATTGACTTGCATAAAAACAGTAGTTTACAATAGAAATCACGTTATTACTCTTGCAAAACGGTATTGTCGGCAGAAGTTTCGAAAATTACGTTTTTCATATTATAATTGTATGTCTATTCTTCTAATAAATTATGCAATCACAATGTACAAATCTATATTTATACAAAACAGGATTTCTCATTATGATATTACATCAAGATTGTATGTTTCGAGGAACAATTACTATTCTCTGTATTTATATCCATTGTAATATTTTTCTCACAAAAAAATGAAATAGAGGTCATTTTCGGAAGTAGTAGTTCTGTAGAATTTAAGTTAATAACTTTTAAATCATTAATCTGTATTTATTTAGTTTAGCGAAATACTTCTGATGAATAAATTATAATTGTTTGCAACGTTAAAATACGTATTCAAATATGAAACTATCTGTGATATGATGGGCATTAGTTTTGTGATTATTGCGATATTAATATATGAATGTATTCAAACTATTTGAAAGCAGTGAATGCTTGTGTACATTGGAATCGATATTAAAACATACCAAAGGAAGTTGTTTAGGTTCTTGCAGGTGAATGCCGCCGACTTCAATAATGGAAGGTACAAAGGGCCTAGCTCTATTCAATGCGAAGTAGGAATTGACCAACATCAAACTCGCATTAAAGGCAAATCTCTCGACGTTCTGCACGTTGAAATTAGCCTTGGCCGCGCTGTTCGCGTCCCAGACGCTGAAGTATTCATAGAGCACTTTGTTTGCCATATAGAGAAAGGCGTTCTCAAGCCTCTCGATAAATCCCATCTTATAGTAATCCATAAAAACTATAGGGATATAGGAGGGATTATCTGGATTCGCAAAGAAGTCATTAATCCACGGCAGTAATTCGCATGAGCTGGTCGCAATTAATGGAACGCGGCATTGGTTCAGCAAGGACAGGAAGCAATTGCTGCTGAAGAATTCGGCAATGACCAGATCGAATTTGCATCCATCCTGATGTAAGTTTCTCACTGCTGGAAGAGATAAGCCCTTCTGGCACACGATGTTTGCAAAACGCGTTATGAAACGCGACGTTAAATATTTGTCTATCCGAGACGGGTTGATTTGATTTAAGGAAACCGCCTCGACAAGTATATCCGCGCTACCTTTTAAGCTTATATCCGTATACCGAGAGATTTTCCGTTTTTGCGGGAAATGGCTAATAACTGTTAGATCGTGCCCCCTTGCACTTAGTTCCTTTAAAAGCGGCTCGAACACGTCGAAATGGCTTTTCATCTGGTGCGGAAATATACATAGGATCCTGTACGATTCGCAGACCGCGGCGAACAACAAAAATACAATTCCAACCTTCATATCCTTTATTTTTTTTTCCTGCTTTTCCAATTCTAAGTAATTCAACGAAAAAATAAAGGATGCTGCTTCCATTCAACGACGTTACGTGTAATTGGCCAACGTTAGTTTAGCTCTAAGCTTGATTTCGGAAAGCGTTGAAATCTGTTTGCGTGCAACAGGAGACAGAACTTAACACCTTTTACAGCGGCGAACAATAACACCAAAAGTTCTGGATTGTAACCTCCTTCTCCGCCTGCACAAATGCTCAGGCTCTCTCAGCTTGCCTTTCAGTGGAACGACTAAAGTTACAATCTTTACGGATATTGCATTTATACCCGCAGAGAAGGCGACGTTACGTAACAACGAAGTGACACGGTACCCCATGCAATTGGTGTGTGTATTATTTAAAGATAAAAATGCGAGACACACGATACGTTTCAACTTTAGAAAGAACTGTGTGTATATAGAAATTTACGAGTAGTGGCTTTACTAGATTATCTACGGCTTTGATACAAAATATTCGGGTTAAGGGGAATTCCATATGTTTTTTTTTTCTATTCCCTTTCGAGATTAGGATAGACCCCAATATATTTCAATGATTCCTGCCCTAAAATACTACTCTAAATCAAATACTATATTTAGTATGAACTACTACCTTCAATATTATATGAAATATTATTTAATTTCCATAAATGCATTACATTTTTTTACAATCATAACAATATAAAATAATTAAGCTATTTACTACTTACCTTTCAATAGATATTGACAATTTTGGCAGAAAGTCTGCGGTTTTGTATATGTTTTTTTTTATTAATTAATTTTATTTAAATTAATGTTAGTGGGAAAAAATTGTAACAACCTTCGAATAAAAATGAGTAACATTCTAAACATCCTTTCTAAAAAATAACTGCAATAATGATTTTTTTTCTCAATAGAACTTATATACTTAATGTATATATCATAAGTACTTCATTTTAATCTAGTTTAAATACACTTTTAGATAAATGTTTAAATCTACATAGAATCTATATTATCTAATTTAGCGCATTTACCTTAAACTAACACTAGAAAAAAAAGTTGGAGATAGCAATGAAGGTTTGAAATCCATTAATTTATTTCAATCATGTCACAGTTTCCAACTGGAAATGCTGCACGTTTTGCGCAAGAACTTACGTAAGTGATATTTATTGTCTTCGTGAATGCGCGCTAGAAAGAAAATCAATAAATCTTGAAATCTATTTAATTCATGTGCATTGCCATATTTGTATTTAGTTTTAATTTAATTAGCTGCATATATAGTAATGCTGTTTTCCAATTAATTTAATTAAAATATGTTACATACCTAGCTAATTAAGAATTGTAATAATAATTGATATGTTAATTATTTAATTAAATAGATATTTTCTTAAAAAAAATATAGTAAAAAAAAGTGGTTTAGTTCAAGTGTAGTGTTTTCTGCACTTATTACAATATTAATTATTAAATAGTTTATTCTTACCATTGGTGGTTTTTTTGGTTGACCAATGTGCATTCCGCTAATTTCTATTATTCCAGGCACCAAAGGTCTCGGTAAATTTAAAGTGAAATGTGAGTTGACAAGTATTAAACTAACATTCTTGGCTAATTCTCCAACGTAAGGCATGTCATTTCCAAAATGTTGACGAATTATTTCGTTATCAGGCTGTTCTACGTAGATGTAATGCAAAACATGAGAAAGTAAATAAACAAAAGTGTTTTCTAAACGCTCCAGAAAACTCATTTTGTCGGAGAAATGCATGAATTGATTCGGAATGTACGAGGGATTATCGACGTTTCCAATAATTTTATTAGTGAACGGCATTAAAACGTGCGAAGCGACCCCGATAAACGGGGCTTTCAGTTGATGCACCAAACCCAAAAAACAATCCGTATTGAAAAGTTCCACCAGGACAACGTCGAATTGCATATCCTTCAATTTTAGAACGTCAGGGTTATTCAGGTTACTGCATATTTCTATCGACATTTCCCCGAATTCGACGGGAGTTAAATATTTCACTAATCTTGTGGTATAATCCACATCAAATCTGATCGTATGTTCCGAAGAATTATTCATATCGAGTAGCTGTACGTCGTGGTAGGTTTCAATGTTGTTGTTTGAAGGAAAGTAACTGACAACGTGAACATCGTGACCTTTGAGTGCAAGCGCTTCGAGTGCGGGTTGAAAAACTTTAAAATGACTTTTACCGACGTAGGGAAACAAGCCAAGAATCCTGTAAGAATCCGCGCTTGCTATTAATAACAACACGACGAGAAACATATCGAATGACTGCGTTATATAAGGTGGCCTTTGCTTATATTCGTGAGTTTAGATTAGATAAGATACTTTACTTTTTACCTTTGGGATATTTTTGGTAGGTCCGATATGCACTCCTCCTATATCAATATAACTTGGTGGTAATGGCCTTGGCCTGTTTAAAGTGTAGTGAGTATTCGCCAAAATTAAGCTGATGTTGGCCGCAATTTCGGAGGAACTTGGCACATCGTCTCCAAAAATTTCACGGGACACTCGATTGCTCGGTATTTGAATGAACAAGTGATTGATGACGGTGCAGCAAATGTAGGCGACGGTGTTTTCCACCCTCTCGACAAAACCCATCCGATCGGAAAAGTCCATGAAATGGTTCGGAATATAGGATGGATTATCAATAATGGCAATCCGCGCCGCCGTCCAGGGCATCAGAATGTGCGAAGTTAGACCAATAAATGGGACTTTGTAATGGTGCGCAAAACCCAAGAAGCAATCCGAATCGAATTGTTCCACCAAAATCAAATCAAATTTTGCATCTGATTCTAGAAGCTTCTTAACGTTCGGGTGTCTTAAATTTCTGCACGTCTCCCAACCAATTGAACTTAACACGAATGGCGTCGCGTATTTAACAATCCTCAGATTGGGAATGCTCGACAGGTCCACCACATCCTTGGTTTTATTGCTGGAAGCTTCTAAACTCACGTAACTGAAGCCGGGTTTCGCCTTTTTCGGCGGGAAATGCGTTAATATTGTTACTTCGTGACCTTTCCGCGCCAACTCCTCCATTATAGGATGGAACACATCGTAATGGCTCTTCCCGGGGTAAGGAAATAGCCCCAAGATTTTGTAACTGTCCACAAGGCTTATAAGAAATAAACAAAAACACGCTATAATCGATCGCTTCATCGTAAATCGTCGAGTTTCCTAACCAAACTGAAGCTGAGTTGCACATTGCCACACAATCGGATAGAGTAACCTTGGAATACGTAAACTTGTTTCTATAGTATACACAACTACAGATATCTTCAAAATGATGTAATGCATGCAAGGTCATTTAACGGCTCGTACAGTTCGTTCACATAAACAGCCGT